AAATAACTGTGATCAAAAACTATTTGGAGAGCTTTAATGTACATACATATATAACAAAATATTTTTATTAGCCTTATGTCTAAAATGGCGGCACATTGACTCACTAGCTGAATCCTTTTTTTTTACTGCTTCAAATCGATGTACAGGATTTTAGGCACACGGTTTGAATAAAATACAAAAACGACTCTGAATAAAATACAAAGAATTTTCATTATCTACATGTCAAAAACTAAAGAAGTACATAAGGATTTCTTAAAATATTAATTTTTCTTTTAAAATGGCAACTATTTTACAAAAAATTGCATTTTTGCCTCAAAAGTCACATATAAAAGTATCAATTAAAAAAAACATTTTCAATATTTCAAAAAAAGCCTACGTACTTCTTTGATGTATTAAAGAATATCCTGTAAAAAATTCAAGTAAATCGGATAAAAATTATAAGAGTTATGTTACACACCAATTTGAACAATGCTGTTTTGAGAAAAATGTGTTTAAAGTTTTTTAGGAAGATTTTTTGTCTAAAGAAGTAAAATTTTCGGCGTCGTGTAAACACTAAAACCGACACTATTACAGACGTATGATAGCAATGACAGCTATATATATATATATATATATGTATATATATATCGAGTAGCAAGCACGTTTTGGTAGATAAATGGTCGTATATACCTACGGAGCACAAGACGCTGGCGCGTTCCGCAACACTTGAAACCGCTCCGCAGCGCGGCGAGGCACTTCATTAAAACAGCTCTAACAACATGATAAAGACGCAATTTTGCTACAAAATTGTTTCCATCGCATTTCTATAATTAAAAGTTAATGATTTAAGCAAAAAAAATTCGATTTTTTCAAACCTCAGGAGTGGTCTAACCCCTTAAACACAGAAACATAACATAAGCATTCTTTTTTGACTGATAAAATATATATTTTGTCAAAAATTTAGCAATGTACTTGAATATTTTATTAACCAAAATTGCGCTACGATTAAATACGTATCACGCTTTTACAATTAAGTAACTATGTGTATAATATAAAGTATTATGTTAAAAATTGTCAATTTTAAAATTGGATATAGATATCTCTTGTCAATAAAAAAAATTGTTTACGTGCAATATTTTATGAAGTTAAGCGGCGTAAACCGATGAAATAGAATAATTATGATTATTTGCGATTATCGAGTTCTATAGGCATTACGAGTTACGCGCGGGACCAAATTTCTTTGAATTTAGTTTATCGGTGCAGTCTCGAGTAGGATAATCCGCAATGTCGCAAACCGCGGTGCAGCAGGCACACTTAACGCCAGATTGAACTTTATCTGCGTATATCTTGTCCTCGTTGCATAGAATGTCGGCTCGCTACTACGATGCACTTTGCGAGACCAAGGCGAAGTCCGTCAAACAGGCCACAATGTGCATACGTATATCGCGGCACGCAATAGCATTATGCGCGCTACATAGCATATCGAGTACATCGAATATCCATCGCTTGACGACGGCGCCGAAGGCCCCGTCACCTGGGTGGTTTTCACGATGTGCCGCTTACGTATGTATTGACTGGCATAATCGCGGGTTTACAGCCTACATAAGGCGCTTACAGTACTAAGGAATCTTAAAGCGCCTATCTTTCCAATACAAGATGCTCCGAAATTTCCCATAAAATTCGATGATGACCTCTTTAGATTACTCGTGCTCGGCCTGGCGTCGAGCAAACGTCTCTCTAGTGAGAGATGATTAAATCTTAACTTTGTAGTTGTGCCAAAATGTCAGATAGCTCGATGATTAAACTTTGAGCGAGAGTTCCATTGAAGAGTTTACTCAAACGTTAATTAAACGTTCTGTGTTAGTTTGAAATTTGATTTGATCATTGACTCTCAAATGTAATTTATTTATTGATTGTATAATCTTCAAAATAAGATAAAAAAATCGCATCGTTTTACGTTAAAAAATTAAATAGTAGCACAAATAATAGTAATTCGCAGATCATACAAGGAAATTTTTATTTTACCGCAAAATTTATTATATATTTTATCATTATTATTTTATAATAAACAATTTGATAATCGATTAAATATTATTGTAAGGATAGGAGAATTTCTTTTTAATATACAAAAAAGACATTTTATAAACTATATAAGTTGCCAAGTAAATTGTAAATTATTTTAAGGCAAAATATTGACAATGCATTTTGTGTACATATATTAATACCGATTTGTTGCCATAATACTGTTACATTTTTGTACATATAATTTTCAAGAATTATTAATGATTCCTGAATTAATACTTGATTAAAACCAAAAACTATGCTGTCAAAATTATACATCTCTCATTTACTTTTATCTTTAAATTCAATTTTGGAGTTGGTAAATGATCTCGTAATGCTGCGTTCTTTATACTATTCTCGATGGTTTTTACTTACAAGAAATTGAACTCGTCACATTTATCGGTGATTTCACATACTGTTTACGGATAAGAGACTTTAGTGGTGTTAGTAAAAATAAAAACGTCATCGGACATAGCTAGTCAATTACCATGTTACATAGTAAAATTGTCACGAATAATTAAGTTGATTGAAAATGTATTGTATTTATTGTATTGTATTCATATATAAAATAATTTTATATACGTTTATACACATATATATATGTATATTCCATTTAAAAGAATAAAAAAAAAATCTCAAAACTGTTTATTATATTTTAAAATTATTATAATTTTACCTGGGTTGAGAAAATTAATTTTACAAGTTATCAGCTCTAACGAATTACGATTACATAGTTATTCAACAAGTAACTTTTCAGTTACCTTTCAGTTATTATACAACTAGGTAATATTTTGATACTATTAGAACTAATAAAAATAGATTTATGTTTCTATATATTAGACAATTTTATTTAAAAGATAAAAAGTGTTAAACCAGAAAAACATAAGGTAGTTAGATGCGAACAGTTAATGAATCGGTCAATTACAGTAAAAAATGACAATAACTTTATGTTTTTTATAGAATCGCCGCGTCTTTCTAGTAGTCGTATCACGTACTATTTTCGCGGATAAACTTACATATGTATATATTATATATGTTTAAACTTAACTTTAAGTTTAAAACTTTAAAGAGAATTTTAAAAATTCCGGATATAATAAAAATAATGAAATCTTCGATTGTTTTAAAATTACATTAAAGTCAGCCTTAAAATATTTTAAAGCTCTTAGGTTATTTTGGATTACACATTTTACTTCGAAATTTTTTAAGTAAACTCTTTTTTAATTACTTTTAAAAATAAAAAATGAATAAGATAGTACACAGGATTCTTAATATTCAAAATACAACAATATATTATAAAAGGCATATAAAAGTTAAAGAATATTAAAAAATATGTCTATTTTAAATTAAATATATAATAATACAATCAAATATTGACATTCTCATAAGTCTACTACACAATGTTTCGGTTTTATATTTAAGCCCTCTCCAGGTATAAAAATATTATAACGCAGTAAATTTTAACTTTAAAGTTGTGTTTGAAGGGAGTCGATGATTTTTAAGACTAGAGAGAGATTAATGTTTAATCAGAGACACATCTTTTACTTCCTTTGACTACAAATCACAATTTACATATCTAACTATTGACGAACATTACGTCATTGACATGATTTTATCAGTTTTTGGACTTTGAGAACAACAAGAAATTTTCGCATTCTGTCAACCAATCGCTTAACGAACAATTTCCGTGTCTCTGATTAAACATTCATATCTAGTCTTAAAAATCATCGACTCCCTTTCAAACACATAACTTTAAAGTTGAAATTTACTGCGTTATAATATTTTTATACCTGAAGGCTTAAATATAAAGTCGAAACATTATAGTAGGCCTATGAGAATGTCATTATTTGATTGTATTATTATATATTTAATATAAAATAGACATATTTTTGAATATTCTTTGACTCTCTCTTATATGTCCTTTATATAATATTATATTGTACTTTTAAAAATATTGACTTTATTTAAAGTAAATTTTCCCAAGGAATGTGATGTTTGTACAGATAATTCGCTTACTACTTTTTAATAAAATTAATCGAACGTTTTACGTGTATTTTGAATTAATTAGATAAAAAATTTGTTGCAGTAACGCATCCAGATCTGCCAGAAAAAGAACAAATTGTACGATAGATGGCCATGCGAATAATGAAAAGGCAAACGATAAGGACGAAAAAAAGAGGACCGAGTAAATGAAGCAGATGAAGATATTATTCCGTAATTTTTTCCAATGTGATTTGTAAGCCTCTATTTTTCCAACATATTATTTGAAGCAAGATAAATGACAGAAAGTAAATTTGATAATGTAAGGAAAAGTCAGATAAAGATAGAGACAGATCATTTTCATAAAATATTTAACAATTTGCAGAAAACAAAATGTTCAAGTTTATAAAAATGTTTTTCTAAAAGAGAAGATACAAAGAATATAAAATGCAAACACAGTAAAGACACTTATATGTATAAAGAAAAAGTACGTGTTACAACATTAAAAAGATACATATAACGTATACGCGTCTCTTTATCATCATGTTTTCAACGTGACATTTGATATGACTACCATTTAAAAGGCAAAGGCGATAGAACAACGATCTCATACGCACGCATTAATAGTTTAGTGTCTAATCTATTATAAAAGCTCATCACAGATGAAATAACATACGTGGGCAACTATATAAGTATATATACACGTACATATGAAAATGTTCTATACGTTTCCGATTCATTGATTTATCAGCGAACAACTTCTACGTATCTTTCGCGACGATTATCATCATCAAAACGAGAAAGAGAAATCAAATTAAATGTGATAAATGGACACAAAATCAGAGTAACGATAGTAAAATGTAAAAGAGAGACAAAAAAATAAGCTAAAAATGAACGTAGAAAGTTCGCATAACATAAACTTCCCAGTTAGTTTCATCCTTGTGCTTCATTCTTCTCGACCAATGTGGATTCGCTTAAACTGCCAGATCTCTTGGTAATGCATCGTCGAATACGAGCGGGATGGCAGAAACGATGGCTCACAATCGTACAACGTACGACAAAACAACGACAGAAAAACTGAATTTTACGTCGGTAACATTTGTTCCTTCTAATGTGGTCGCTGCCGCGTTTAATGCCGAGACGACTAATCCGTCCGTAGCTATGATGGGCGATCCTGCAGGGATTGTCACTACCATCAAACCACACCATCGTGTCTACAACGCGACGGAGTATCTCATCGAGCAAGACGAGCTCGAGCACAGTAAGTATAGCACAGTGTATCACGAATAAAGCTACAAAGCTCTCGATAAAGACATGGGTGGTACCGCCTCTTTATCCGAATTTTAGTTAATCATTTGAAAGGTAAAATATTAGATTTTCAACAAATTACCTGAACGTATCTCAACTGTATTTCGAATTTGACCATTTTTTCAAATCTCTTAAGAAATGTCGTTTAGCGGAGTCATAGGAACTGCTCATAAGTTATATTTACCCAATTCAATTTTGCATGTAACTTTTTTTATACATCTCAATTCCATTCTAATAATACTTTTTTTACTATATGTATAATTTAAAATGTTTAGCTATTAAACATTAATATTATAAGTTTAACATCTAGAAGAGTAAAAAAGAGAGGAAATGGAAAATCACTCTTCTTTATTTAATAATTAAAAAAGACGGAATGGATAAATACTTTCAAACGATAGTGTATGCTTTGACAGAATAATCATATGAAGGGATCAACTAGTAAAAGATTCAAGTTATTATCGTACTTTCGTTTCAAGAATTTTATGATTATTATATTTCAGGTATCCTTGCCAACTTTTCAGACATACAAACCGTTTTGCTTGCATGCATATCGACATTATTACCGCTGATCATCGCCTTGGGGATCGCCTTCGGCGTCAGGTATGCAAATTTTGCTTATTGCGAAAGGAATATGCCATCCGCAGTGTCGGCCGGTTGCATTTTTTTTACAGCCAGCAATAAATTTTTCTAATATCCGTATCAGGCACGTGTGGCGAAAATATCGGAATAACGGAGACAACGAGAATGGTTTACCTTGGTATAAGAACGTCTGCAATCGTAATAATGTAGTCGAATCGCATCAACATCATCCGCATTCCGGAAATGTTCCCGTAGAAGATGCCACGAGAGTCCTTTCCGCACAAGACGTAAGTTAATGACTATTTAACAATTTTACAAATACACAAAAAATACGTACAGACGTGAAAAGATTTAGTACAAAATATACGAATAGAATATTACTATCAACGAAATTATCGAGTTGGTCTTTCAGTCTTATAATCGAAAGTAACACGTGACGTACTGGTAGTAAAATATTTAGTAGGTATAATAATTGTATAAAATAATTATGACTAGGAGTTCTATAATACTTTGAAAGTTATTGCTATAATAACTATAGTAATAATAATTACATTAATAGTTCTTCCAAATATATCTATTGAGATTTAAAAAGAAATGATTACATAATATAATTAAATAATATGAAGCGACTGTTAAACCGATATAAATAAATAAAATTTTAAATACAAAGAACCCTATGTTAAGTTGAATCGAATCTTAGTACTTAAATACATATATTTATTGTGTGAATTTATTTATATTTAAATTTTGCATATCGTACATTGAAATGTTTTTCCGGACTTAAAACGCATTAATGAACAGAATAGCAATATCATTTATAAAATTATACAAGCAATTCAATAATTTTTTTTATGCTAACGAGCATAAAACTGTTTTAACAAGAATATTAATTGTTATATATTAAAATAAAGTTTAAAAACTGTAAGAATTTTACTGTAAGAAATATTATAGTTAAATTATGGTAATTGCAACCATTTTTTGCTCTTATCGCGTTTACATTTCTTTGCATTGTCAGTGTAAAATTTAATGGGACGCGTCAAATATAAATTTTTCAACCATGAAATTATGAAGTAATTGTATCAAAAATGTAAACTATGTGATAATGAAGAAAACTTTACTTATTAGAGTTAGAATGATGAAGAAATCGTGTGCGAGATCTCTTTACTAATTGAGGTAAGAGTTTTCGTAAATCGCGAAAAAAAAGGAGCGAATAATTTGAGAGGAAATACACTATGAGAAAAATGCTAGCTCGACGTGAATACGTTATGAACCTTAATGGAATCGATACTAGTCCGCGTTTGATCCTCGTATGCATGCTCGATTAGCTTACATAACACGATAACCACGCAAACACCGTCGGCCTTGGTTTAAATCTTGATGCTGTGCCGTAATAGGATATACGGCAAACATTTACGGAACTTGTGCTCCAGATTGCACAACGGGAACGTAAGGATGTTCTACACGGTTATATATTGTACGTACAATTGTCACGGTTGTTGCACGAACCGAATCGTATAGCACTCTATACCGGGATCCGATCGCACGTGCAGAGCAGACATTATAGCGACCGAAGAGCCAAAATCTATGGCTGCGAACGTACCGTTATAATGCTTTGCATTTAATAGCGATGCATCGCCGCACTGTTGCGCCCATTCGTCTCGCTTGACCCTTTCGTTGGCGGATTTCTTCCGGTTAAAAACTCCTCGTAAAAATATCATAACGTGTACACGCTCGTTAATATTGAATTCTTATATAATCTGTCCAATGTTCGATTAGTTCAGTCGACCGAAATTTCCTTATATCATACAATACTTTATATGTCGCGTTTAATTAATTGAGTTAAAATTCTAAAGAAAATGTTGGAACAAAAAAATATTGTATGGACAACTTTATTGAAATTTTCATTCATTTAAATCACTATACTTTCTGAAGAAAATCAAAATATCTTATTTTGTATATCAAATAAAAAGCGTAATTGATTGAAGCTTTATTTAAGATTGAAACAATTGTTTTTTTTTTCACGTTAATGTTCATTCACTGTTTGTAACACTTGAATCAAATTCTTTGATTATATGAAAATGTTAATGGTGAAGGAATTAAATTTATTAATTCTTTATCTGCTATCTTATTCTATTATCAAGTTATTTGTTATTTTCCTCGTCTTTAGAATATATCTTTGGAAACTGTAATTTTAATATAGTTAGTATAGTTAAAAATATCCTCTTGTTTATTAAAGACTTTAAACTTGATTTATAATCACCTGTTACATTATTTTAAACCTTAACAGAATTCTCATTATAGATGATTATTTTAGATTTTTTTTAAATTAGAACAGAGTATTTTCATGGAGCTTATCAATCTACATACCGGATATCATTAAATCTTGAATAAACCTATGGTGACCCTGCAAGCTAAAAATTCACAATCAAGAAAAAAAAAAATTAATTTAAATTGAAAATGTTAACAATAACTGGAAAATTCGCGAAGTTCGATCAAGTTGTTTCACAAATATTTGAAATTTTCCCGTTTTCTTTCGAACTTATCGTTTCAGTTCTAACTTCTACTTTCTGTCGTATTTGCAATTGTCCTTCGTAGCCAATCAAATTATAATTGATTGTGTACGTGGGGCTAATAAATTCGCGTTTAATGAAGCTGCTTATTGCTAGAGGAATCCATTAACTTTACCTTACCAATTGACAACGCACGTGGTGCATATTGTTCGACCTACGTATTATAACGCCACAAGCAAGCGTGCAGCACAACGCTTTTGTGTACGCACATATTATAAACGCATAACGCACGCATACATATGTACATTATATACGTATGTGTATATGCATCTCACACACACGTTATTGTTTACGTATGTGCACATGACTCAGCCAAAAATACCGTACGTCTGCTTGGCTCAAAGAACTGTGGGATTGACCTGATTTTAATTTCGCGCATATGCCATCGTGATAACGGTGTTTAGCTGAACTTTTTGACGTTTCCACCGACGCAGTAAATTGTTTCCATTCTATTCTCTCGTTTTGTCGAACCTATCGGTGCAGTCGTGGCGTGCAGATGCAAATGTCGGTGTGCACAAAAGTCAAGAAAAATGCACTACATTATTTTGATGTATGGAATCATTATTGATTTCAATGATTACACTATTAAGGACATCATTTTGCAATACGAGTGTAAATGATTATTTCCAACGTATTTATTTTTGCGTGCTACATATGAATTTGATAAAAGTTGGCTATTGCGTCACAATTTAAAAAAAATAGTGTTAAAGAGACAAAATATTGTTGATTTTTAAAACGTAGCACTTGCAATTTATTTTTTTTCCTTAATTTTATTAATGGTATATCAAAGTATCAACTATTAATTTTAAAATGCATTTTAATTCATTTCAATATAATTTTTTGATTTTTAAAATATAGCAATTTGAAAATATAGATATAGTCCTTTCTTTATGTAATAGTATTCGACAAATAAATAACAATATTTTAAAGAAAATTAATATTTTTGAACTTTTTGAAATATTTATTCTATAATTCTTTAATAGAACACTGATTACAATTTGCGATTATTTGCAATATAGTGCGTTTTGTATTCAATATCACAATTTCTTCTCACACTCGCATAAATAGCTCCATATTACAGGGTTACAATTATGACAAAGGACAGAAGTTAACATTTTTTTAACAATATTTAATTAAATTTGATTATATTATTTAATTAATTTATATATATATA